ATTTCTCCTCTATGATGTGGGAATAGTCTCTCAAAATACTACGAAACAATTGCTGGAATATTACAAAAAAAAAAACAATCAGAACTAGCAAAATTTCTAATATAAACTTTTAAGCAAATTACTTACCCTTTCTTCTTCATCCCAATTCATTGAACGAATACGTTTTGCTTTTTGTTCGGTCATTTTAAGTTAAAAAGTTTAAACTTTTCAGGTAAAAAAAATAATATAAAATATAAACAAACTTTCTCACAACACAACACAGTCAAGTCAACTAAAATTAACCCCACGTGCTTCAACTTCAACTTAGGCTAACTGTCAAATTCTCAAATATTTTTCTTCTTTTTCACAAAATTCACTCAATTTTTCTTCTTTTTCGCAATGGTTGCCAACGTAAACTTGTTGTACCTAGGACTAAGGAAGGTTTAGTTAGTCTGAGCTTAGTCCATGTTTATTAATAACATTCTGAAAATGAAGTTAGTACTCGCTTAATCTGGGACTAACTAGTCCGAGACTAACTTCGGACTAAGCAATTTTTATTAATAAGACTGTATGATTATATATCTCGTATGCAATTATTCGTTCATTAATAATGATGAAACTGTGTAGTGGCTCTTTTGGTAGTCGGTTTTTCTTATCTTAATATAATCGTTATCCCCTCTCCATTCAGTTAACGCATCACACGCTCCAATCAGAACCAATAATAATGGAGATATTATGACATACAGATAGACAGACTGACAGAATAAGAAAATTATAATATTGACAGCCAATCATTATTTTTACAGTACAGCATAAGATTAAGAGTACTTGAATATTAAAATTATATTGAAACATGTTTATAGCCTAAAGGAAGCTAAAGGTGTGGTGTGCATTGACTGATGAATTTTAAGCTTCAATTATTCTCTAATCCATGTAGTCGTCTGTAGTTTGAGTTATTTACAATACAAAAGACGGTGTTGGACAGCTGACAGTTGCGGTCTCGGCACTAAGATGGTACCTCAGACGTTATCAGATATCAATTTGTTAATCTCTGGTATACCTAACTCGTAGTCTTGCCAGTATTACCAATGATTTTCTATACATTCACGAAGTTTTACAGTTGGTACCCATGTGTGGTTGGATTTAAATTTGAAGGACAGCCTATTCCAATAATTTTTCCAAAAATTGAGTATGAGACAATAATTATTAAATTGACCTTTTAGATCTTCATCAATTTGGATCCTAGTCACTAGTTGACGATTGTACTGCATTTGTTGCGGGGTTTTGTTGCCCTAAATTTCGATATGGTAGTGTACCCAGATGATTGAAGGAGATTTCTTGGAAGGCAAGGAAATGGATAAAGTTATGAATAAATTGAACATTTAAGTATCTTGTGAAAATAATTTTTATCGAGTTGATAGATGTTATAGTCAGTGCTGGTAACTGGAAAAAGATATGTCTTTATGGATGTATGAAGGATCTACGTCCTGCTGATATCATTCTAAGACGAACCAACAAATGACCAATGTCATTTGTCACATGTCATCTCAATATTTCCGCCAGACCGGGAGCCCATTCTGTCTTCTGCTTCTATATAACATGTAGCTTCTCCTTTTTAAAAATTTTATTAAAAATTTTAAAGTGTTTGTTTGTCTTTGTGTATTGTATTGTTATGTCCAAATTTACATGTATAACATTCTACTCATGTCAGATAGGCCACAACTGACGAAATGCGCCTGAAGATGATCTATTGATCGAAAGTACTTGGGCAAGATTTAATTAATTACTGTGTTTGATAGTTGCCTTGTATACCATCAAAGTTTAATTATTCGAACATTCAACCTTATATTAATTATTTTCTGGCATAAGTTAATAAGTAACATTCGATGTTTGGTAATTCTGGTACTTAACTTAACGACAGTCACAAAACTAAACGTTTTTGTGTTTTGTTTTGTTTTTAAGTTGAATTGTGTTTTCTTATATTTTAATTATTGAAGTAAATTATACAACTTAATGTTACATGTCGAAGATAGCTGCAACCCACATTGTATCCACAAACCATTACTTGATGTTATTAAAATAAATCACACTGCCGTTAACCTCAATTAAGTAAGATATAAATAACAAACAATTATTAAATTGTATTTTACCATGTTTTAAACAATTGTAGCTCTCATCTGATGATGCCAATGAAAGTTGGCTAAATATAATGAACTGTTGAACAGAGTACACTTGGCTTTCAATCAGCTGTATACCCAATTAACCTCTGTTTAATTTATATGAATATGAATTTATATGAATATATATATATTTATATATATATATATATATATATATATATATATATATATATATATATATAATTTATATATATATATGTATATGTATAATGCATAACAAGAATATTAATAGATACCAAAGAAGAAATAGTGGACATTGTAAAAGATCGAAGAAAAAAGTAATTTGTAATTGTAATTGTAGATTTTTGTTAAAACGTCAATACTCTACCGTTATGTAGTTTGGTTTTAATGCAAGTATCAGACATTATTGTCAATTTTATAAATTGTGCATGTTATATATTATATTTCTCTGGTATGATAGTTCTTGATAATGTATTGAACGCTTGAGCTCGAGCTCGAAAGCTTTTAATCTCGACTCTTAGTCAAAACTATATAATAATTTATCCAAAACTGCGTCACTAAGTTGTCCATTGTATTTCGTTGTGGTTTAAAACCGGATTAACTAGGGTTAATATTATGCTTTTTAAAAAATTAGGCCAAGTTTGTAATTTAAAATTTTCTCCAATAGTTTACGCATATAGCATATAAGTAATATGAGCGATAAGCAGATGGCTCATTTGGAGGCTTATCTGATTTTTGAAGTGAAGCTTTTTACTGGCGTTTTATTATTTTTAGCTATAGTAAAATGCAGAGCGGATCGTTATAACACCAAATAGTTTGTGTCGTGATGAAAACCTCACTTCTATTTTATAGAGGCATTGTAATAATGTTTTAACGTTAGTTGTTAATAGTTAGTTAGTTGTTAAATAAATTCATTTCAAACTATACTCAAGTTTTGTTTTTAATTTAACTTTTAATTTTTAATTTGATTATTATTCTTATATTTAGTCTGACTTTAACGGGTTCGTCATAAGTAAACAACGTATGCTTGGCAACAATGCAGTCGAAATAAACAGCGCAACTTTCTTGATTTGTTAGCCGGTGGCGCTGGTAGCAAACATATAATTATTTAATTTGTTTATAATATAGATAATAAATTAATAATAAAATTACTTCATCCAATTTTAAAAATAATATTTAAATTTTAAAAATACAGACAGCATAGTATGAATCTTAGCGGTACTCTATAGTACCGCCTATTCTACTACAATTTTTTATCGTAAAGTTTACTTCATGCATAAAATCTCATTCTGAAGAAAAATGTATTGATAGTGCACGCAGCTGTACTATTTTGAACATGCAGCAGATAATGAATGGAAAAAAAACCTTTTTTGATAAGAAAATTGAAGCCTATAATTTTTGTCACTTTCAGGTCATGCTTGAATTATAATTCTTAATAATTTTGCTGAATATTTATTTATATATCAACTATCATCTTTTGCCTTTTAGTTGTCATCTGCCAAGTGTTTACTAGTTAATTAGTATTCTTAACAAACTTTTTTTGGGATGCAAAGGATAATGATGCGCAAAGTACCTATAACCTCTCCAAGTGTTAATTTCAGCTTTCCGCGCAATGCTCTTGATTATGGTCATCCAGTGCATCTTGCTATATAACAAATGAGGCTCTGACGTCCGAGTGATTGCCGGTATAAGCAATCCTCCACTAACTGACCAACGACTTAGGACGGATGAGTTAGTGAGTGGTAGGGCATTCTTTTATCTTGGGATTAGGAAATCGGCCCCGAAGGTGGATGAACCAACAAATAATGATCAAAGGCATAAGAATGCAAAAAGCAAAGAAGAAAGACTGCATTAACGACTCGTAGAAGACCCCTAGGAAAATCACCATAGAATTGACATTGCAATTGCAAACCGTTACTAATCATGGAAAGCGGAGGTCAGGATTCGGCAGGAACGGAGATGCATATTTATACCACAAGGCCTCTCAGGTTGTAAATATGCGAAACCCTCGTAAAGAAATCATAAAAATAAAGAAATCTAATTTTGGACTATGCACATGAAATGTTAAAAGTTTATTTGCGGCTGGGAAACTTGACAACGCAATCCAAGAAATGAAAAGAATGAAAATAGACCTACTGGGAATCAGCGAAATGAGATGGACAGAGTCAGGATCATGTAAAAAGGATGGAAGTGTATTATAATATTCCGGTAACAGCATAGAAGACCCGTATCACAAAAATAGTGCAAGTGTATTAGTAACATCAGAACTGAATAAATATGTGACCAATTTCGTACCAGTGTCTGATAGAATAATATTACTCCAAATAAATACTCAACTATTTAAAACTAACATACTTCAAATCTATGCCCCGACTGCATATAGAAAATATGACGATGATGTCTAGAAGTTGTATGATTAGATCCAAGACATCTTCCAAAAAACTTAATAAACACAAAATTTTATATATTATAAGCGACTTCAATGCAAAAATTGGAGAAGGTCGACAAGGTCAAACTGTAGTTCCTTATAGTCTAGGACAGCCTGACGATCGAGGACAGAGATTGTATGAATTTTGTAAAAAAAATAATATGATCATTATAAATACCTGGTATAAACTACCCAAGCGATGACTATACACTTCGAAAGCCCCATTTGATAATGGCAATAACCCTGAGTCCTCAAGAAATCAAATAGACTATATACTTGTAAATGAGTCTTTCCGAAATGCTGTCAAAAAAGTCACTACATTTCCTGGGGTAGATATTGGATCTGATTATCAATCACTTGTAGCAGATACTGAACTAAGGTTAAAACGAATTTAGCGACAAAAACCAAAAACCAATGTATTTAACTTTGACGATATTAACATAAAACATAACATTAAACAAAAATTTAACAATAGAATAAAAAACATCGGAGAAGAACTAGAAGATCCAGAATTTACTCCAAAATCTCCATACAACGAGGAGTCAGACAAGGTTGGATTTTGTCGCTAACATTGTTCAATGCTTACTCAGACCAGTTGTTTAAAAAGGCATTTGAGATACAACCATATGGAATAAAAATCAACGAGGAACTACTTAATGTGATTAGATACGCAGACGATACAGTAATTCTGTCAGAGGATATTGAAGGTTTCCAAATACTACTTGATCGTATTCACGAGGTAGAAGAGGAAATGGGCATTAAAATAAACTCAAACAAAAATAAATTTTTAGCGTATAGTCGTAACCCACATTCCGATGCAAAGCTTTATTTAAACGGAGTCCAAGTTAGGAAAGTTCACAAAATGACATATTTGGGAAATATGATAACGGACCAACTAGATTCAGACATAGAAATAAATAATCATCTAAGTTGAGAACTAAGACAAAGAATGGTTAAGTCCTATGTTTGGTCCGTACTTTTGTATAGTGCAGAAGTGTGAACGCTAAAAGTCTCGATCATGAACCAAATTGACGCATTAGAAATGTGGGTTTATAGAAGAATGCTGCAGATACGTTGGACAGTAAGGAAAACTAGTGAAGAAGTACTAAAGAGCGCAAACAAAGATATAGAGATGCTAAAGACTATTAAACATCGAAAAATGTCTTATCTGGGACATATAGTAGGGAGAAGTCGATATAAAATATTACAACTGACCCTTAAAGGCAAAATAGAAGGCCGTATTGGTGGAGGAAGAAAACAAGATTCTTTGTTAAAAAACATTCGTGAATGGACTCAGATATCAAATACAGGACAATTATTCCATATTGCAGAAGATCGAGAAGCCTTCGCAATGGTGATCGCCAACATCGGATAATTCTGATATGGCACGCGAAGAACAATAACAAACATTTTATTTTTATATTGCAACATTTTACCTTCTATATTTAGAACTGTTGTTTGAGTTTGCAAGTGATATTGTTAATATGCGTTTTATTAAAGGTTATGAAAAGATACAATATACCGTACTATTGAAAAAATTCCAAAATCGCTTGAAACACTCAAATTATCAAGTTTTTGTTCGGCGCATGGGCGAAGACTGCATTAACGGTGTATTTTGCCATTTCAGTAGCTAAAATTCTGTCACTGCTATCTAAAAATCTTACTACGCCTATTATATCAAGCACTTTTATTCGACGGTCGCCCAAACGGTAAATATACATTACGGGATTTCGACGTCATCTACGGGGTTTATTATTTGTGCTCAGACGGTCGCTCTTAAATTCGCAAACACAGTTTTAACCAGTGTACGAACGAACAAATCGATTTAATTTTTGTTAACGTTGTCATTTTTTAAAGACTGCCTTTTAATATTCTATTAAATCATACAAGGGATTTATTTTGACGTATTGTCGAAAATAGACTAATTAACACACAAACTCTATTACTGTGTTTATTCTATTTATGATATCTATGTAGGATTCTACCATCCTAGTACCTATCCAGTACCCCTACCGATAAAGACTACCTGCATTGCAAACATCCTATAGACTGGTTAGAGCGGTAATCTTGGAGTTGTTGGAGTTCTAAATCTTAATTTAGTAGTATACGAATTTATATTTCCTGGAATGCTTTCACTTTACATCATTTTATGTACTAACTTTTTTGTAAAGATTGTAACTTACTTATCTACAGAATAATAAAAAAATGTTGTATAATATAGCACTCCAAGACACTCACAACATGATCCAGAAAACAACACAGCTCAACACTGCCCCGATACATTGAAACAAAAACTCTCCATATATAGGAGTAATTGTACAAAAAGAAACCGCAGATTCCATACTTTAAAATATTACTATTTAAGCCAACTTGCTTTAATAAAATGTTGATATTAAGAAAGATACAGGGTGTTAAAGTGGAAATTTAAACTTTTATTTTTTGCTATAACTTTTATGTTTGTCAACATTTATGTATAAAAATTTACAGCTGGGTACTATTTAAAATCAGAAATTATAATTTAATGCACACGTTGATATAGCTAATAGAGGGCGCCACATATGCCACATATGTGGCATACATTTGCACGTAACTTGTTTGCTCTTCCAGTTACCGGTATTTTTAATAAAAAATATTAAAGACACATTATTTTAACAAAAAAAAGCTATACTTGTTAATATCTTCAAAATTCAACAGTTTTTGAGATAATCGCATTTTAGAAATCAACTGATTTAGAAATCAACTGAAACATTTATCGCAATTACTCCAGGCAACGAAAGAAAATTAAATAAAAACATCAATACTTCTGAATTTTGTTATAAAATATCTTTAATAAAGTTAATAGTTAACGAAATATTAAATAAAATAAATATATCAGCAGGATAATTAATAATAGGATTTGATAAAATAACAGAATAATTGGATTTTACGTTTTGTATTTAATTAAAGTCATAACCAAAACATTTTATTTGTAAAACAAAATTAAAAAATAGTTAAACTAAATAACATTATAACTTTTTGTCAAAGTAAGTGTTCCATATGTCCACCATTTTCTTTAATTCATTTGTCAATACATTCCATAAAATATCGTCTCATATTAAATAGCATCATTGGTTCTGAAGAAACTGCTGCAGTATCTATTATAGTTGTGTTAAGTATAATAATAAGTAATTTTTTAAAAATTTTATGAATCAAATAATTATATTTTTATCCCACCATAAGAATATGAATACGACGAACAATCCAACGTTCAGGAAAGTGTATTTAAATACTGTCTCAGTCCGCTTTCTCTATAATGTAATGGTGTACAATTGTCTTTAAATAAATCAATAAAATTATTTTATAAAAAATGTAAATAAATCTCACCATTCAAATTGAAAGGTAATTCGCATATCCGTTAAATATTATTAAAATGCATTAAAATGCATGTCCTATATTTTGGAACCATTGATAATTATTTTTTACGGATATGCGAATTACTTTGCAATTTGAATGTCGAGATTTATTTACATTTTTTATAAAATAATTTTATTGATTTATTGTTAGAATTGTCATCAACTTTAAGGCGAAATATGTGGTTTCTATAAGATGGTACTACATTACAGAGCCAGCGGAGTGAGACAGTATTTAAATACAACTTTCCTGAACGTTGGATTGTTCATGGTAGTCATATTCTTGTGGTGAGATATTAATATAATTATTTAATTCATAAACATTTCAAAAAATTACTTATTATTATACTTATAACACTTATACTGCAGCAGTTTCTTTAGAACCAACGACGCTATTTAATATGAGACGATATTTTATGGAATGTATTGACAAATGAATTAAAGAAAATGGTGAAGATATTGAACACTTACTTTGACAAAAAGTTTAATATTATTTACTTTAACTATTTCTTAACCCTCCGTTAGTCGCTATCGGTCTCACACACCGACGACAGAATTATTCATTTGGGATTTACAAATAACTGTTATTTTTCTATCGCTACTTTCTGTACCTCTCCCTATCAACCAAACTCGTGTTATTGTACATTCTTACATTCCTGGGTACAGTTGTGTAAGTGTTACAGTTATTTTCGGTGCCAGAGTCCGTAGCGACTAACGGTGTAGCTATTATTTGTTGCAGAACTTGCAGAACAGGTAAATATTTATCATCTTATTATTACGTTTTATCGGTAAGTTTTTGTCAATTCTTATTTATAGATGTTCTTTGAAGCGAAACAAGTTTGACTCCAACTCTTGTTGGAATTATGGACATGTTTCCTACCCACTATGAAAATTATTTTGACGATAAGGGAAGTGAAAGCGAAATAGATCAAATTGAGGTGGTGATGGTGAAAATGAATCGAAACAAGATGTGACAGATGAGAAAAACGAAAGTGGAAGTAACACCTTAGCGTTTATTGGAAAATATAGCGTTACTAGATGAAAAAAGACTGTTCCACCGTAAAATGTTTGAACAAGACAAGAAAATTATATAGTACGTAATACAAACTAATGTTTGTATTTTGAGAACGATATCCGATGTGCAAATTAAAATATCAATGAACTTACTTTAACATTTAATTGTGGCTTATTCCCATTTAAACAGTAATTAGTTAAAAATACCACAAGAAAATAGCTTCAGAACAATATTCACAATATATTGTTATACTAGTGTTTTTCATTTTATATCTGTTTTTTTTTCAAAAAAATATTTTCAAAAATATTTTTTAGTTATTCCTATACACAATATAAAATATTTGTATGAATTTTATAATAAAAACAATTTTTTTTAATTGTCGGTCTCAGACACCGTAGCGACTCTTGATGCTCAGTTTTTCCTAGCGACTAACGGAGGGTTAATTTGGTTTGTAAATAAAATATTTTGATTATGACTTCAATTTAATACAAAACGTAAAATGTTTGATGTAAAATCCAATTATTCTGTTATTTATCAATTCCTATTATTTTATCCGGCTGATATATTTATTTTATTTAATAATTCATTAACTATTAACTTTATTAACGGTATTTTATACCAAATTTCAGAATTATTGATGGTTTTCTTTAATTTTCGTTCGTTGCCTGGAGTAAATACATTAAATTATAATTTCTAATATTTAATAGTACCCAGTTGTAAATTTTAATATATAAATGTTGGCAAATATGAAAGTTATAGCGAAAAATAAAATTTTAAATTTCCACTTCAACACCCTGTATCTTTCTTAATATCAACATTTTATTAAAGCAACTTGACTTAAATCGAAATATTTTAAAGTGTAGAATCTACGGTTTCTTTTTGTACAATTACTTAAGGACCACCCTGTATATAGTTCACCTAACGAGATACAAAGTTAGTAACAAACGGGAAATTCGACAATATAATTTAATTTTAATTTAATGTACAATAAGCCAATTGACTACAGTATGACCAGTGTAGAATAAATAGCTTCCACAGAAGAAAAAAATCATTCTAATAGAAGAAATAAATAGAAAACTTTCTTCTGAATTCGTGCAAGGAACAATTTTGGCATGGAATTACGATAGATGTACTTACCTTTATTTATATAATATTTTTATATACAGTAAATTTAGTAGTGGAATTACCTGAAACAAAAACTAAATATAAGAATTTTGACACTGCTCGACAAAATGATGTGTTAACAAAAAAAACGTCAACATATTTAATATAATACTCATGACAGTTTGATTGATTGTTATTATATATTTGTTTGTTTTTTTTTAGATCTTTTCTTTTTGAGATTACTCCCGGTACACACAAATCACAAAAAACCTAAACCATATTAAGATAGAAATAAAGAAGTTACATTATGATATTATTTCCGTAG